TCTGTCTGTCTGTCTGTCTGTCTGTCTGTCTGTCTGTCTGTCTGTCTGTCTGTCTACTGAGAAGATCAACATCTAAAGTAATAGACAACAACATTCCAAAAATAGATCAATAAATTTGTTTGAAAATCAACAGTAAAAAAGTAATACATGTAGAAGAAATATCCAAAACAGGCCAATAAAGCGATAAAAATGTATACTGCATAATTAATATATTTCACGTAGTAAAACAAGAGATTTTTAAGATAAATTTAAAAAAATAGAATGAAATGAAAAGAAAAGAAAAAGAACCCCACAAAAGATTTAATATATGTATATATATATACACACATAAAGTATTAGAAGAGAATTTCAAGATAATCTACAAAGACTATAATATATTATACACACATAAAGTTTTATAAGAGAATTTCAAGATAATCTACTCAGATGGTTAAAAATGGATATAAAATAAAACTGAACATGTACTGATAACAACAACAAACAAACAAAAATAAAATAAATAGATAAAGAAAGAAATCAAAAGAGCTTATAAATGGCCAGGCCGGTTAGCGTGTGTGCAGGAAGCAGGAAGAGTTGTAAGTTCCAAGCGACGCACTCACATGCAGCAGGCCGACTGTCGGACAAAGATGAGCCAGTACCTTTTTCACAAAACTGTCCCTGGAATCCTGCGGGGCACGCGCACGTGGAGGGAGAGATGCACGTGCCGTTGTTTTGACACGCTGGTGAGCACAGGGCTGAGGGAGAGAATAGAGGGAGAATGAGTGAGGGAGTGAGGGAGGAGAGAGAGGGAGGAGGAGGGAGAGGGGGGATGGAGGGATAGAGGGAGAGATGCACGTGCGTTGTATTGACACGCTGGTGAGCACAGGGCTGGGAGGAGAGAATAGAGGGAGGATGAGTGAGGGGGGGGGAGAGAGGGAGAGAGAGAGAGATAGATAGATAGATAGATAGAGAGAGAGAGAGAGAGAGAGAGAGTAGGAGAGATAGAGGAGAGGGGGGATAGAGGGGTAGAGAATAGAGGAAGGAGAATGAATGAGGTAGGAGGAGAGAGGGAGAGGGGCAGGAGAGGGGGAGGGGGAGGGATTGAGGGAGAGGGAGGGTGGCAGGGGAGGGATAGAGAGGGAGATGCACGTGCTGTTGTTTTGGCAGGCTGGTGTGGACAGGGCTGAGGGGAGAGAGAAAGGGAGGATGAAGGAGGGAGGAGGAGAGAGGCTGCAGGGGGCGAGGGAGGACAAAGGGGCGCGGGTGAAAGAAAGGGGGGGGGGAGATTATTTATATACGGTAGTTTGAACATGAGATCTGGATTGGTTGGTTTTGTTTGACCTTTTTTTTTTCTTCACCTCCATTTGTTTCTCTCTCTCTCTCTCTCTCTCTCTCTCTCTCTCTCTCTCTCTCTCTCTCTCTCTATTTGTTCGTCTCATTTGTCGAAGTGTAAGTTTACTTTTGTTCAATTATACTTACTGATTTTCGAACATTCTTTATAGAAACACAAACTAACTAACATAGTTTTAATTAACTATAAGAATCAAACAAACAAATCGTGCTTAAATAGACAACGAACATTCAAATGAATCAACATGAACGTATTGCCAGTTACATATCATACAAAGCCTGAACAAAGGCTTCGTGAAGCGAGTGCACACAGCAAGTCATAAGGGGAGACAACGAATAGCGTTCCTTTCCCTCGTGGTTAAAATTTCCTCGGTTATTTCCCGTGCAACGAAAATTCCTTACAACGAGCGAACAAAAAACAACATTGATATGTTAACATTTTATGGCTGCAAAAACTTCTGGGATAATTGGTCGCTCTTAAGCACAAGGGGGCTATTCCGAAAAATGCTGCTTTGAGAAAATCGAAGTTAAAGTTTTTGTCCCTTTTTCTTACTTTACTTTTACTTTTTTCTTCCGCTTGTACCCTGGGGTGTCGCGGGGAGCCTGGCTTAGCAGGCCGGCAGTGGATATACACATTGCTCAAGAAAACATAAGGAGTCCCTTTTTCAGTTTCTTTAAAAGACAAGGAGAGTTTTCTCTATAACCAAACAAAATTATACACACCATTGAAACTAAACTTCTCCTATAGGTAGGGTAATGCCCACTTTTGGTGTAGGTCAAGATTTCTTTTTTTAGACCCCCGAAATCTGGGTTAGCCCGCTTATCTTCAAAAAGCAACCAAATGTTAGTTGTGCAAGCGCTAGTCCAAGGGGTGAGTGACATGAAGGCAGGTGTTAGTGATTACAAGCCTAAAGCACAACCTGACAGATAGATAGATAGATAGATAGATAGATAGATAGATAGATAGATAGATAGATAGA